GTCATGCAAGCATTGTATTTTTAAATACATGCCTAAAAAGGGCCCATATACAACAGACTGATTTTCTCAGGTCTCTCTAAAAAGCTCTGGTAGATTGTTGATAAGCAATGGAATTTCCTAGCTGGGTCCCTAGTGACATTTAAAGATGGCCGTGGCTTTGTTGGGACTGGCTTCCTGAAGCTTCTCATATTGGGGGAAGGGTTTGGGAATATTCACAGGTTTCTCTTTGGGAATTGACTGTTAGAGGAGTCTCCTAAATCACAGCTGATAGAGAGGAACACTTGGGTTTGGAAGGGGAGGAGGGAGGTGGCATCTTTGGGATTAGACCAAAGCAGATAGTTAAAGAAAAAGAGCCTTGGAAAAGAGGCTTAACTGAGTTTTTTTGTTTGTTTTTTTTTTGGTAAATCTGGCCAAGTTGGATCAAGGTAGCCAAAGTAGGTCTCCCGGGCAGGAAGGATGGGGCAAAATCCTGAAATCCACCATGCTGGCGCCCCTCCTTTGAGTCTCAGGAAATCTTTCTGATCAAAACAAATGGACAAGCATTGTTCCTGGCTTTGCCTCTCTTCCTTCATCTCCTTACCACCTCTCTCTACATCCTTTACTGTCTTTTTATGCCCCTTTCCCTTCATCTTCACGTTTCTTTTCTCTCTTCCTAGCTCTGACACTTTCCCTCTCAAACTTTGTTTTATAGTTTTCAAATCTGAGGAAAAAAATCATCTGCATTTAGAAGCTGTAGACTTTCAAACAGTAATTATTTCTCAGGAGGTGGGCCCAGTGCATCTTTGCCCCTTTGCTCTCTGAACCGTTATTCTTGCATCTGACTGAACACTGAGCGGACAGAGGCAGGGATCGGAGAGCTCTCCAGGCCGTGGGGCTGCCAGCCCATGTGCACTTAGTCTGGCCTGGAGCCAAACCTGTTCCCTAAGGTCCAGCTTTTTCAGAGACACTGCTTGTTCAGAGCCCAAGGGGGGAAAGACATCAGAGAATGATTTAACCCTCATAAGGGATGAGAACTCCAGGACACAGTAATTTGGACTTAATTCAATGAACTAACAAGTCAGCAGTCACAACCCTTGTTTGGGTGGCTTCTTGCATGCTGTTGCTTATTCATGTCAGCATTTCTATGCCTTGGATAATGGCCAGGAATGATAGACATATAACCTGTTAGGAGGGAAGCCGAGATTCAGAGAGGTCAGTGATTATGCCCACAAGGTTATTACAGCCCTTTCAGAACCAAGATGTCTGATTTTTATCTGAAGAAACAACTCAGAAGTGCACTCTGACACCCTCAAAACATTTCAAAAGAGTCATTGCCCCTCAGTCTGTCTTCCCCAACCCTACATAGCAATGCCAGGCTTCCACACAGCGAACTCTCGGTGGGACCTTCCTGTGCCCCCTTCACACTCACTATAGGCTTTCAGGAGCTAACATGCTACGACCCGTTGTCCACGGGCACATCTGTGTTTGTGGTCAAGGCCACAGACCCTCCTTTTCTTGGCCTTTGACTATCTTCTCAGCTTCATCATTGCTATTTTTAACCAGTCTCACTCACTCTTATCTTCTTGGGGTGTCTACTCACCCTTCCCTGTTTCTTATCTCCATGCCTTTGCTCACTCTGCCTCCTGACCTGCAGTATCAGCCGCTAACCTTTGCCAACACCGGGGAATGTCTCCGGCAGGAAGCCTGCCCAGCCCTCCCAGGTGGGGTGGCTCGGGGCTCCTCCCCTGTGTGCCCGCAGTGCTCTGCACATCTCTCCTTCACTGTTCAGAGCAGGGAGACTTACAGTCTGATACATATATGCTTTCTTCACCAGACTACAAGTTTCTGCAGTGAGGGCCTGTGTCTTATTCATCTTTGTACCTCCAGCACTTTGAATAACTTCTGACACCCAGTTCCAGCTCAACCGATGCTTCTTGAATGAATGAATACTCAGAGTTTTTTATGAGATTTAAAAATGGAAAGTTACCCTGGCCAGGTAGCTCAGTTGGTTAAGAGTGTCATCCCAATATGTCAAGGTTGCAAGTTCGATGTTTGATTCCCCATCAGGGCATATATAAGAATCAACCAATAAATCATAAATAAGTTGAACAACAAATCAGTGTTTCTCTTTCTCTCTCCTCTCTGTTCTCTATCTAAAATCAATGACTATAATTTTAAAATATTTTAAAATGGAAAGTTACAGGGAGCTTCTAATGTAGGGCTATAGATAAAATTTTTCATTAACAAGAACCTTAAGATTGATAGTATAACTTTAAATGTGCAAAATATTTTACTTGGTAGCATTTGATTAAGGGAGAACTAGTTTTAAACAGTTTTGTGACAAAAGGGAGGCCCTTAGTTTTCTCATTAGCTTATGGGCTACTTACTTTTGACTCTTAGAGTTTGTGCTTCATAGAGTTGTCTGGAAATCTGTGAGAGGACCTTCTCAGATAAAGTGTATCTTGCCCTGTTCCTAATTAATGATGGGTGCTCACCTTACACCTCAGCTGTTGGTTTAAGCAGAAGTGTTCTTCTAATTGTTGAAACTGTAGAAACTTCTGAGAGAAGGTGATGAGCCAGGAGGGAGAGAGATCCATCATCGTCAGGAAAAAATCTACAGACAGGGGACCTGAACCACTGGGCCAAGGGCCTCGTCCCAGTTGGACTTTCTGAGCAGGCTGCAGCCTCACTGTTCCTGCTGGGAGTCAGAATCAGTGATGATGGTGTTGTCTCGGGATAGCCTCAGTCACATTTTGAGCAGCCATGGAGCCCCCTTCCTTGTGCCCAGGGTTGGCTCCCTTGAATTATTTCTGTCCTGGTCCCGTGCAGTTGGAGGAGATAAACAAATCGACACCAGGTACATAAACATCATGGCCATTGCCTTGGAGAAGGTTCACCCCTTTCACTGGCTTGAGAACATAAACATGATATTCTAGACAGGTTAGTGGTATTTCTTTTTCCAAGCAGGGCCTGTGCTCGTCCAAACCCCCATGAAACCACCTTACAATTTAGATCGGGAGTTAGTCATGTGAAAACTCATGTTAATCCTCTTTTTTCAATATTATTCCTGGTCTCCAGTTTTTCCATCCATAAAGTGAGGTGGTTGTCATAGAAAATCCTGGAAGTTGTTTCCAGGTTTTAAAATCCCACAATGTATCATTCTGTCTCCTTTGATTGTTTTTATTTCAGATTCTTAAGTCATTATTCTTACGTATGTGTGAACAGAATGGCCATAGACCTTTGGTTCCACAGATAAATGGCAACCTTTATTGGGAAAAATATATATGTTGGAAGGATACTGTTGAATTGCAATGAAATAAATGTCCAACAGGGTCTCCCCATGCAGGTTCATAGCCTGCTCGCAGCACCAAAGAAAGAAGGAAGGGAGGGAGGGAAGGAAGGAACGCCGGCCACTTTCAAGAATTGAAGAATTACAGGAAAGCATTGAGTCTTCTGCTAACATAGCTGCCACAAAGTGCAGTGGCTTCAGTATGAATAATATTTATACTTTGGGTCTCAGAATAATAATGCAAATGCTTAAGAGCCCCATCTTAAGCCCCATTCTTGTGATCTTATCAGAAGAATGTCCAGACAATGTTTTCTTTAACTCCAAGAAAAGAGATTTAGAAGGCTGGATCTTGCCACATGTGTCCAGCTGCATGTTTAATACTCTTGGAAAATAACTACTCTATAAATGTGGAAATAACCAAGTCTGGATGCTTGAACATTGTTCATTTCTTTGCTTACAGTTGTCTAGATCTTATGTATATAACAGCAGAAAATTAATAAACAGTGTCAAATTTGCTGTTATCATGAACCAGGCAACAATACTTTATTTGCATCCTAGGGTATTATTCTGAAATTTCACCCTTAAATGGTTTGAAATGATGGAAAATTGAACCAAGTTTAATTGGAGTTCATGAAACATTGCTGAGTTATAGTCAGCCAGTCCACATATTTAACAGTTTATAAAACTTCTTACTTTTCACAAATTAAATATTGCCACCTGAGAATATATTGCAGAAAAATATCAGCTTTGTGTTTGTAATGTCCTGGAGATGTTTCTCCACACCAAGTATTTCCACAGAAGACTCTTACATTCCGAAAGAGTCTGCCATATGTATGGGAATGGCACATGAGGATGAGAAAGGTAAAAACCTCCTCTTGCGGCCCTCCACTCCCCCCCCGACTCTGTGCATGCCCACTCTGTGCTCACCCTGGAAATATGCACTGTGGCTGGCATGGAGATGCATTCCTGTTCCTTTTTGAAAGCCGGGAGGTACCGCCTGGAGAGGCCATGGCTTTCCTGCTCTGTGCTAATCCCTGTTCTTGGAAGCTGGCCTTTCCCTGTGGCCTGCTTTCTGGATACTCGGGCAGTGGAAGGATGATCTTTTCATCTGGGAGAAATGAGTTGCCTGAGGAACGTATGGCACTTTTTCTTGCGCAAGAGGAGATTGTGCTTCCCAATGCAATGTCAAGGTCCGGGGTTGTGCCGCTGCTGTTTCTTACTGTTCAAATTTAGGAATCCATAAAGGGGAACTCACGGAAACTTCATAGAAATGAACATATAAATGGTGATGGGAAGAAATACAATAAAAAATGAAATTAAATTAAAAAAAAGAAAAGATTGAACCTATTGTTTCTAGCCATGCCTTCCTAGTTTGGGGGAAGGAGAAAGGAGAGACACACACCCAGTGGCACATTTGAAGCACAGGCATGAGGGCTCTTAGGTCACCTCTTGTATCCAAAACTGAGGTAGCCTTTTCTGACACAGTGAATGACATTTGGAACTTTTTAAAAACCATGGAATGCAGTCAAACACAAAACTGCCCCCAACTAATTTTTTGAGAAAGTATTGAAAATTATGGCCGTGGCAAGGGTGAGTTTCAACTCTTCACCCAGAGGAGAGAGCCACCCCTTGGCTAGGGGTGACTGACAGATGGCAGCACAGCTAATGCGTCAGCATGCGTGGCATTCACAGTGTGCTCACTGGGACGTGTATTTTCTCATCTTTTCAACAGGTTGTTGAAAAATCAGGTGTCAAAATGACCGAACGCTTTGATTGCCACCATTGCGAAGAATCTCTCTTTGGCAAGAAGTACATCCTGAGGGAGGAGAGCCCCTACTGCCTGGCCTGCTTCGAGGCCCTTTATGCCAGCACCTGTGAGGAGTGCAGGAAGCCCATTGGCTGTGACTGCAAGGTACCCCCGCACCTTCCCTGAACAGTGCTCTGTATCTCCTGGGCCTTTCTTGCTCCCCAAGAGCCACTGGCCTCTCTGTGTGATCATGCTGAAGTCCTGCTCCTCGTCACCTGTTGATTCCATCTCTTGGTTCCCCCACTCTGATGGGCTTAGACCCTTCCAGAAGTATTACTGAGCTCTTCCCTCTTCTCTGTTGGTCTCTGATTACTCCCGATTCCATAGCACTTGCTTGCCCAGGAAGTTGGTGCTCAGTGTTCTAAGTACAGTTCTTACATTCTAGTTATTCATGTCCTTATCTCACGCCCACTCCAGCTCCCAGTGTTGCAGCTACTTGAGAGACATGCTCTCTTGCTCCTGTTTGCTCTGTGCTAACTCAAGAGGAGCAGATGCTGCTTGATAAATATTTGAGGAAGAGATGTGCGCATGAGTGAGCCAGAGCTGATGCCCAGATAGATGGGCACGTCAGAGGAGGAAATTCACTGGCATAGAGGGGGTTTGTTTCTCTTTAGTGGCAGAAGGTCAGGATTTGTGTCGTTTCATTTTCAAGGGGAACGATGCACACATAGGAATTCCCAGCTTTCCTTCTGTGGATGGCCCAGCAGGTTCAACTGAGGCCACGGGTCCTTTGCGCCAACTGCCTGGGGTTCAGTGTTGGAAACCCTGGCCTGTACTTCTCAGCATATCTTTAGTCTGAACTGGACCACTGAGGGACGCCACTGGGAGTCTGTCCATGTCTCTAAGTTTGCAGATATCTTTACCTGCAAGAAAGCTGCTGAAACACTCGTGACAAACACTAGGTGATTGTCATCCTGAGAGCCACAGATTTGGTACAAAATAGAGTTCAAAACCTCCAGAGGAATTCCCAGATTAATGGACTTCAAGGCAATTTATGGCATGTCACTTTTTTCTGCTTTCATTCCTTTGTCCTCTTTTGGGATTTTGTCACTCTCCTCTGTTGTTACAAACATCAGTACATAACTGCCTACTGATTGACAATTCTAACATATCCAATGCATGTTTCTTATAGTTCTTTATTTTAGCATATCATTCCCAGGAAAGGCAGTAAGCCATGGGATACACCATCAGTTTCTGTTGCTAGGTATTTAGTGACAATTGAGGAATAATTTCTGTCTTATGTGGAAAGAGGCCTTTGTCCTGAGAGAGACAAAGGCTCTGCAACATGGGCCTATGGAGGCCAAACTGGGCTGTGGATCTTTGGCTTCAGAACAGGAGTGGCATGCCAAGTGTCAGAGAAATGAAACTCAGAGGTTGTCGTGTATACACTTTAAATGGTTCAGCACTCTGGCCACCATGAGCAGAAAGTAGCTGATCTTGCTAGTCTAGAAGTTGAATACCTGTTTATCTCCAGTTCTTTCTGAGGATGTCTTCCTGTGCCCAGCGGGTGTTCTTAGTTCCTCTTTGTTTATTGACTAGGCCAAGCATAAGAGCCCAGATGCCGTACTGCCTGGTTCCAGGCCTGGCTCTGTGGCTTACTAGCTGTGTGAACCTGGGCCAACTACTTGACTCCTCTGTGCCTGTTTTCACATTTCTAAGATGGAGGTAAAACAAAGGTGCCTACTTCATAAGGTTATGGTATATAGATATGTAGCCCTGTGTACCATAAATGGCAGCTGATGATATCACTGTAAACTTCAGACTTCCACTTTCCATTCAACTACTTCCCTGTTCTTTCCCTAACACAGTCCCTGCACATACCCTGGAAGCTTTGCCCTCTCTCTTTATCAAAAACTAAATGTTTAGTTTGAAGAAGAACTCATAGGCAGAGAAAAAATTATTTTATAAAAGCCTTACCTGGGCAAGAATTAGGCATGAGGTCCAGCTATTATTCTGACAAAGAACAACTCCAGTTTAAAGGAAACATTTTGGATATTTGGGACTAGTCATCCTTGACTGGTGACTAATGTACAAACAAAACAAAAATCACCCACCATTTCTCAAACATGATTTAGTGGAAAGACACTTGAACCTCGTTATCCTTCAGCACATACTGTATGAGCAAACACAGGGATCCTCCAAATGTGGCCAAAATCAACATGACTGCTGCAAAGTCAAGAGTTAATCATGCTGAACTTTTCAACTCAGATTAACGGTTTGTTATATGTGGAGTTATGCCATGTGATTCTCTACAGTTTAGAAGAAAAGGAGATGTTGACTTGAAGTTAGATCTTGCCATTTGGTGCTTTTGAATATTTGCTATGGCTTTCTTGACTTTCAGAAATAATTATGTAGTTGACTTTGTGGAGAAAGCAACGGTAGAAAAAATTTCTGTTACTTCAGGAAGTCAAGTCAGAGGCAGGCGGCTCAAGGGAGCAGCTGAGGGCGCAGATCTGGTGGGCATCCTCTTTTCTTAAAATGGCGTAGGCCTCCTAGGCTCGCTTAACTCTCCTTCTGAAGGACATGGGCTTGTGTATAATTTTTAAATATTGGCAAACCTGTGCCCTGGCCGGGTGGCTCAGTTGGTTAGGGCATCATCCCATACACCAAAATGTTGTGGTTTGATCCCTGGTCAGGGCATGAACAGGAGGCAATTGATCGATGTTTCTCTCTCATATTAATGTCTCTCTCTCTTCTTCTCTTTCTAAAATCAATAATAATAAAAATCCTTGTGTAAGGATTAAAAAATAAATAAAATAAAATATTGGCCAGCCTTTGGTATATAGGCTAATCTTGTGGGTATTGACTACCTTTTGAATGAGACAGGTAAGACTTCAGGACCTGTCGCTGTAGATAGATTACATGTGTTTGAATATCACCTCTATGCAGTCACTCAGTGATATTCTTTACTTATATTTAGTTACTCTGAAGAAATGCTGAGATCTCAAAGTATAAAAAACATTTATTTTTGTGGTCAGAGGATTAGTTGAGAACAGGTAATACAAATAAAATTTTATGATCCTCCAACATTGTGCTGTTCTTGTGGATACTAGCAAAAAATGTTTTTAGCCTGGTTGTAGATTTTTTTGTGGATGGGTTTATCTACCTATGTTTTAGACTTCAAAAATTCAAAAAATTAAAGAAAAGATAGGCTTGCCAATAGCTCGAGATAAGTGTAAGTAGCATGCATGTGTCAAATCAGTGATTTTAACAAACTCTAGGCCATATACCCAGCTCAGACTTTGAACTTCCCATGTCTGTGCGAGCAGGGTCATGAAGTCAAATAGTCCACCTGACCTGTCCAGGTGCCCTATCTAGACTTGCGGTAACACTGCACAGAGAGGGACTTTCTTCATTCCATTTTATGGAGACTCCACTGAGGATGAGAGGGGTTAGGGTCTTGCTGGGTTACAGGGTTGGGAGGCACTTGAGTTAGAAGTAAAATGCAGGTCGAGTGGCTCCTGACCCACGAGCTGCCTGCTGCCTGCCCTGCGCAGCCTCAGGTGGGACATCTGGTCAGGCGCAGGTTGGACTAGTGGTCCGTCCTGAGAGTCAGAGCTGTCTGCCTTGCTTCTATCAGCAACCTGAGCAAGAGGCTCCCGCCTTTCTCCTGGGGCCCCTCAGATGGCAATGACTATGCTGTAGAAATGACACTTGATTTGTTTCTAGAACACTCTTTCCAGCTTCCTAGTTCGTTAAATGGGAACACTGAATTGACCATCAGATTGGCATGAGTCTATCCATTAAACTATAAAAGTTTCTCTTTTAAAATTTGGAAAGTTCTTAAAGGACAGAAAACTTCTGAGCCCTTTGGGCGGACAGTAGCCAGGAGAATGAAATGGGAGACTAAGGTTTTTTTACATGTCCAGGTTAACTCTGGATGGCTCTGTTAGACTTTTAGAGGATTCCTGGCCAAGGCTTAGGGAGCATAAGGTCAGACTGAGAAAACCCTCCTTCCAGCCCGCCACCAGGACACAGGCGTCCCCTGCTGGGCCTCTCTGGCCTGTTCTTTGAGGATGAGCAACTCTGCCAGATACATTCCCACAGTCTAGGCCGCCGTCCTGACTCCTTTTATTTGTTGAGGTAATTTTTCAGTGCTTAGTGAGTGAATCACCTTTTTAGAGGTTTTATGTAATTTGTCCCCGGAGTTTGTAATGAACGCTCAAAGTATTTATAGTTATTTAGACACCTTCCTGTAAGAGAAAAATCTGAAGGAAATTGAGTAAAGAAGGATCTTCAGAATTGGGAACAAAAGTGACCAGATGGGTTATAGAAGGACCTCTCAGTCCATGAAAACCAAGGGTCACCTGCAAGGCATGCCCACCAAGGTACACAGTGCTGAGCAGTGACATTGTGCTCACCGAGGTGGGACTTGAGCCAGACTTGCCCCCTACAAGCCTTGGTTCCTATGTGGAAACAGGGTTGCTTATCTCAGGGGAGTCAACTGTTAACATACATTGGAACAGCGTTGCACAGAGGAAGGGCCTTCGTGTCTGCCATCGTCTGTTCCTTTGGACCTTTAAGGGTTTGAAAGAGTATGCCATTGAAAACCTGATAACCTGACAATCTGAAAGCCTAGGTCCTCTTTGCAAAGCGCTGAACGTGGCTGACACCGAGGATCCATTTATAAAGTAGAATCTTGTGGGTATGAGGAGTGGTTGCTTTGGGAAATCAGCAGCTGAGTGTCTGCCCGCCCAGGTGGACCAGCGTGTGAGGGAGGAGTGGGTGCCAGCACCATGCCAACCTCAGGGTACAGCCACCCTGCCACCCAGAGCTGCCTACGGTGAGCTGAGAGGTCGAGGGTCCCTCCAGGACACTTTGCCCCATGGCTCAGCTCTTCATGTCTCAAGAAGGGCACATTCAGGGCCAAGCCACAAGCACTTCCATATTAGGAATGTTTCTGAAATGGAAAAATATAAAATCTGACAGGAAGCCTTTGGGCCTAATCTTACACTGTTTATCAACATTTTGCTGCAATTTATGACATTTCTGTGAGTACAAGATTAACCCTGGTATTTTTTCTGAAGTATATAAAAGATTCTTTTCTTCCCCCCCACTTTCTGAAAGATTTTAAAACCAGGACATTTTTAGATTTTTAAGTTTTT